AAATTTTTAAAAAAAAATAAAAAAATTAAAAAAAAATTTTTTTTTTTTTTTTTTTTTTTTTCAATTCATAACATGCATTAAAACTAAAAAAAAAAAACATTACAGGCAGTTTGTGGTCTATGATGTCCTAGTATGAGAAAAACAGGGTAGACGAACCATTTTCGGCTAGGTTATGCAGATAATCTTGCCGTTGTCTGCTGCCTACAAATAGAGAAACTTCTCTAACTAAATATTTTTGTTGGATGGATTATATTTAGTGTCTAAAGATTATTTAAATCGCTAGCGACAAACCGATCAATCGCTAGTTTAAAGAGGCCAGTCTCCCCAGTCTTTTCTGACTGGTGGTCAGCAGGTAAAATAATGAGCTTTTATTTTTTCCTGCTTAATAAATGCAACTAAAAGTGTTCTAAGTTTGTAAATGCATTAACAGCATTTGCTTTGGTGCACTTTGTTCAGTTTAACTCAGAGAAAAATACAGATGGTTAGGACTACATGCTTTAATAAAAAAAATGTGGATATTTGGGATATTCGTATAATACTTGATGTTTTTGTTAGACTACTTGTACTTCAGGGTATTATCGTCCAGAATGTTAAAAAAAATAGCTGTCAAGAATCGGTATCGGCAGACCTTGTGGGAAAACTGAAATTAGTATTGATCAAGAGACTCGTGATCGGTGCATCTCTGCTACTTTTCATCTCTGTTCCATCTATAAAGTAGCAAATATAAGGCCAATCCACCAACATGTGCTCAAAACTAAAGGAGCTGGAAATTTAATCCATCAAAAAGGCAAAAGAATACATATGATGGCCTGGATGCTTCTTTTCAGACAACATAAAAACTTCATTTCCAAAACTAAACAGTAAAAACTCAAACTTCCAGTAGTTAAACTTCATTCATTTGTGTTTCTGCTTCATGATAGCATAAGGGCTACAAAAAGCCCCAAAATAAATAATAAAATAATGTAGGCGCTCAAAAAGGAAATCATATATTGCTACTCACGGACGGTTCTCATCTCCCATGTGCACAAACAAAACTCATTCTCTTTCTCTCTTGACGATTGTGTGTAAGCATTGCGCATTGCCAAAAGGATTTGAACCTTTCAGCAAATAAGCTCAACAGATTGACAATAAACAAGACAGAAAATATCAAGTGCATCATCTGATTTGTTGAACTCTTTCTGACACAGATCCAGTAATCTCAGCAGCCTCTGACACAGTCCAGCACAAGAAACAGCTCCAGTTTGAAAGTTGCTACATCTTTATAAACTTAAGATATGTCTTTAAAAAACTGCCAACTTGTGTATAAGAACAGCAAAACTGGTTCAGTAGTAGTAGTCAGTGTATGAAAGGACATTCTGTCTGATATGGCACTGGTGAGAGGTGTTTTATCCAATGGCAAGAGTTTTGACAAGGCCACAGTGAAACTTCCTGATGTGGCGGTAAAGGTCCCCGGACTGGGTGAAGCGCCGCTCACACCACTTACAGGCGTGAGGCTTCTCGCGCGTGTGGACCACCGCGTGCCGGCTCAGGTTGTGGGAGTACTGGAAGCTCTTGCCACACTGGCCGCAGGTGAAAGGCTTCTCGCCAGAGTGGGTGCGCTCATGGCGTTTCAGGGTGTACATGCACGAGAAGGTCTTGTTGCACTGCATGCACGTGGGGACGGAACCGTCCGGGGACAGCTTGGAGCGGGCGCCGTCCTTCTCGCGGAAGTGCGAACTGAGGTGCAGCTGCAGCACGTGGGGGCTGAGGAAGACTTTGCTGCAGAGGGGACACACGCACACCTGTTGCCCCGGAGGTAGAAGCACCCCGCTGGAGGTGGAGATGTCGGAGGAGGCCAGGTCGTCCTCTTCCTCTTCCTCACTGTTCCCCAGTAGCCCGCCCCTCCTGTCCGGCTCGCCGCCTGGGGCGCCCTCCCGCCTCCCGCATGCCTCCCCCTCCTCGTCCATCAGGTCTTCCTCCTTTGAGAGCAGGGCGGCTGTAGCACCGTTGTTGCCTGGGAAGAGGGCAGCGAACCCTGTCACCACTGAGCTCCTGGCACTATTCCCAAAGCGCTGGCTCTCAGGGCTCATCGGCTCACTGTCCTCCTGCTCTGACAGCAAGTCGTGTTCGTCTTTAACAAGTGGCTCAGTGCCCTGCTGCTGGCTGTCGAGGGCCAGCTGTCCCGAGACGTAGGAGGGGTGTAAGAGATCTCTGCTAGACAGAGGCTTGAAAGACAAATCCAGCGCACAGTCCATGTCATCTGAAGCGCAGGACCTCTGGGACAGCAATACGGTGGAGCTACTGACATCAGCTTTTGTTTTTCCAGCTGTTTGGACGCAGGTCTCGGCCTCCGCTGACATATAATTGACACCTACAAGGTCCGGGGACCTGCCGGAGTGACCGTTCGCCTTCTGCCTGCTCTGCATGGACCTATCACAATCAGTGACAGCCAGCCTGACTTCACTGTTGTCTGTGTCAAAGTCTTCTGCCGGGGGGGCCCTTTGGAGCCCCTGAATGTGTCGCTGAATGAGTTGCTTACAGTGCAGCTCACCATCTGAGGAGTTCTCCCTGTCCACGCAGCCGAGTCCCAGGCCCTCCCCTAGCTTCTCATCCAGGGAGGAAAGTTCCTTATCTTTAAGTTTGCCTTTGCAGACTTTCACTATATCATACATGTGGAGGTAGCTGGCTGCGGCCAGAACATCCTCCACGGGCAGCGCGCTAAACTCCAGCTTCCCCTCATACATAAATTCAAGGAGGAGACTGAAAGCCGGAGCCGTCACAATGTCACTGTTGAGATACACAACGTCCCTTTTGTACAGCTGGTCCCTGTAGAAGAGGTGGAAGTACATGCTGCAGGAGGCCAGCACAGCTCTGTGCGCTTTGAACCGAGCCTCCCCGACGAGAACAGTGCAGTCACAGAGGAAGCCTTGGTGACGCTGCTGACTCAGGCATTGCAGCAACTGGCGGCTATGGTCTGGGAACTCCATTCTTCCTTCATAACCTGATGGAAAAACAGGAAAAACAGGATAGTGGATAAACCAAGCGAGGAGCACATAGAGGGCACAGCGCAGAGCTTTAGAGGTAAACATGTAGTGACCTAAAGCACAAAGAATATGAGCAGCCAAATGAGCTAAATAGTGCAATACAACAAAAGGCGCACATTCAATGGTAGATTCTGATATGGATGATATGGCTCACCACTCAGGGCGTCATTAAACTGGTGATGGTACAAGAGCTTGAATTTTTATTTTTTTTTATTTTGTGAAGTTACGGCAATCTTTAATCAAGACAGATGTAATAACTGCAATATAAAGATGTGTCAAACCTGGACATAGATATTCTACATTTATAATGTTCTTTGAAATTTAGTTTGATTAATGTTCCTAAACATTAAAAAATATATTCATTTGTTTGTCAATTGGAGAAAAAAAATAAAAAATAAAAAAGGCACTTGCCCAGGGCATCATTAAAGCATGAATGGCCACCACTCACACCTTAAGATCTGAACAGAGTTGGACAAAGATGCAAAAGATTCTGGAGCAGTATTTGATCAGGTGCCCCAATTCCAACTCACTACATGTAATAAACAAATACATAAAACTAATGAGACATGAATAAGATGCAAGTGAAAGTGCTGTAGTAACTGGGGTTTTGCTCTAGATCTGTACGGTATGGATTTATGCAGCACTAACCCAAACCCTATTATGCCCGGGCAACATAGAAAAACACATTGTCCTGGTGTTGAAAATGCCGTACTATTAAGGTGACATTGTTTCGTGTAGAAATAACTGTGGCTATTTAAAAGAAATGAAATGATAAAACAACTCAGATTATGTAAAATATAAAGTTGTTGCATTTTTTTTTTTTTTTTTTTTTTTTTTATATTCACAACGTGTTTTTTTAGTATTGTTTGCC